TTTTTTTTTTTTTTTTTTTTTTTTGTCAGCTCCATTTGCGGGTGGTAAAATTAAGTTTAGTGGGAGGTGACCCAGATTTGTTGAAAGCAAAAATAGAATAAAACAAAACATAGAATGTATGTATTCTTTCATGAAATTTTAAAAGACAGACTATGTTTTAGAGCAGTTTTAGGTTCACAGCAAAATAGGGGAAGGTGCAGAGGGTTTCCATGTGCCCCAGTCCCTTCATAGGTGAAGCCTCCCAGCTTTTTATACCCTGCACAGAGACATTTATGACAGTCCCCGGACCCACATGCCTCCAGACTATGACCTAGAGTCCACAGCTCATACTGGGGCTCACTCTTTGTGGTGTACATTCTTTGGGTTATGCTATGGCTCATATTAGATGTCCTCCCAAAACCTTATGCACTTATAAATGGGGCTTTTGAGAGTGAATAGATCGTGGGTGTGATACTGGATTAGTTCACTGATTAGCCATAGCTCTGGTGTGGATGATGGACTTACTGAAGAGGGAAGATCCGCCCTGTGTGTGAGTGGTACCAGTAGGCTTATAGTCTGCATGGAATAAAAAGTAAAAGAAGACTTCGTGCTTCCTGCCTGCCTTGCCATGAGCTCTTTCTCCTCTGCCAGGCCCCTTTTCCATGCCACCCTGTCTAAGAGCCAACCAACTGTAGACTAAAGCCTCTACAAACTGTATACTTAGTACATTTTTTCCTCCTTTAACTTGTGGGTGTCAAGTATTTTGTCTCACCATTGAGAATGTAACTAAGGTAGGTTATGACAAGTGTATAATGGACCTGTCATTGTAGTATCATGACAGTTTCATTACCCTGAAAATCCTGAGTGCTCCCTCTGTTTACCTCTCCCTCCTTTTACTCTCAGAAACCACAGATCTGTCTACTGTTTCCATGATTTTGCCTTTTCCTGGATATCATACAGTTGGAATCATATATTATGAAGCCTTTCCAGATTGACTTTTTGTATTTAAGGTTTCTCTGTGTCTTTCATGACTTGATGGAACATTTAGTTGTAGCACTGAATAATATTCAATGACTAGATGTCCCATAGTTTATTTTTCCATTCACCTTGTGAAGAAGGACATCTTGGTTGCTTCCAAGTTTGGGCCGTTATGAATAAAGCTACTATAAATATCCACATGCAGGTTTTTGTGTAGGCCTAAGTTTTCAAATCATTTCAGTAAATACCAAGGAGCACAACATATGGTAAGAATATGTTCAGTTTTGTAAGAAATTGCCAGACTGTCCTCCAAAGTGGCTGCTTCATTTTGTACTCTCACCAGCATTTGGTGTTGTCAGTGTTCTGGATTTTGACCTTTCTTACGTGTAAGTGTGTAGTAGTTTTTTCACTGTAGTTTTAAATTGCAGTTCCCTGATGACATATGTGTGGAGCACCTTTTTATATGCCTCTTTGTCATCTCTATATCTTTGGTGAGGTGTTTCAGTCCTTTGCCCATGTTTTGATTGGGCTATTCACTTTTTATTTTGAGTTTTAAGAGTTTTGTATATAAATATACAGGGGAATAATCCTTTATGGTATGTGTTTTGCACATATGTTTTTCCAGTCTGTGACATACCTTCTCATTCTCTTGGTAGTGTCTTTCCCAGAGCAGAGAAGTTTTAGATTTTATTGAAGTCTAGCTCATCTTTTGTTTCTTCCATGGATCTTACCTTTGTGTTGTCTTTAATTATCACTAAATACAAGATCACCTAGATTATCTCCTCATTACCTTCTAGGAGTTTTATACTTTGGGTTTTGTGAAGGATGTAAGGTCTGTGTTTGGATCCATGTATTTGTCTATATATGACCACTTGTGCCAGCATCATTTGTTGGAAGGATCTTTTTTTTATTGTATTTTTCTGATTAAAAAGATCAGCTGACTCAACTTATATGTATCTTTCTCTGGGCTTTCTTTTTTTTTTTTCTTTCTTTTTATTGAGGTTATTGGTACAATCTAGGTATACAATACAATTACATTCATCATTGGGATTCTGTACCTTTACATAATAGGTCTTGATTCTCATTTTTCCCCTTGTCCCTGCCCTCCCTTCACCCCCTCCTCCCCTCCCCATTTACAAACACTTTATTTCCATTTTTTCAGTTTCTCCTATTTTTTTCCTCTCCCTTATTACCTTTCCCCCACCCTTCCCACTTTCCTTACACCATTAGCCCTTTACTTCCTATTTCACATTATTAATTGTCTCATTAGGATCCTGTGTACTGTTATAGTTTTTCACACCAAAGAAACTATTC